TGAACGATCGTTCAGAGAACGGGAAGGGGAGCGGGGAGGGTGGCAGCGATACATGGTCACGCCTTTTTCTAGACGTCTGCTGCACCTTTTTCAGACCAAGAGAGATCAGACGAACAGAGAAAGATTTGATCTAGTCACAGCCACTGCCTCCCCCTTGACTCGCTTAGCCTCAGGAACTGGACCAGGGAATCATTCAGTTACCTCCAAGCATTCCTCGACCTCTTGCAAGGACACTCGTAGTTCGACGGAACACACCATTTCCACTATCATCTGAAAGTTGAGTGACTTTTCAAGCTTAAGCGGAAGTCAATCATCGAATTTTTGAAGGAATTTTCGGCGCTGTCGGCTTGATGGGGGCACCATACTACACCTAACAAAGCTGTTTCAGACCAACTCGTGAAGACTTGTAACTTGCTGAAACCGAAGTGGCTCACTTACACCATTTCTCAGCTTCACAGGAGTTTACAAATCTCATCAAAGTTCAACAAGTTGATTAACTTGGATCAGCAAAAGGAACTGGCGAAACCCCCTCTTAAGCCGAACAGCGCTGAACTTACCTTAAATTTTTTTTATTAAAACAATACTTTTCGAGCTGAAAATTCGGGGTCAACAAAGAAACTATTAAAGAGATATTTGGCAATCGTCTGAGGTGTAGTGCAGGACATCCACGTTGCGGCGACGCGCAGAAAGTAGCATCTCATATACTAAGTGACTTGATGTGCAGCACTACGCGAAATCGATTAGATTCTGGTGCGAATGCCGCGCATGTGATGCCAGCTGCAATGCCACGTCGCCGCAACGTGGATCTCCCACATCACCCGCGCCATAATACCACCAGGTCCTACCGTCAGACAGTTGCATTGCAGTTGGCTGTTCCATTGTGCGACTCCAGTCATAGCACTTAGAACCTGAAAACCGAAGAATTATTGGAACTGTTGTCTGTGAACAAAACCTCAAAGTAGACCTGTGTCGGAAGATTATGATTCGGATTTTCTATTGACGTGGAGTGGAAACGCTGGTCACGTAGAAGGGCCTAAAAAGTTGGAGTTAAGAACTGAAAAAAATAGGAAAAATTGGTACTTGAGCTCTATTTTCAATCAGAAGAACATCTCATTTGAGCTAAATAATATCTCATAATCATGAGAAAGAAGCGTAAAATAGCCCCAGATTTGTAGAATGAAAACCAAAGGTTTTGGCGTTGGTCACTTCTTTCTGGGATGCCCAGCACGTTCTACATTGACTCAAAACTGTGGTAGAATCGGAATGCAGTAATGCCTATTCTAAGGCTTGCGATGGACAGCTGAGGTCTAAATTACGAGTGTTGTACAAAGGAACAGGAGTCAGATGGATGGAATGCTTGGTTGGCCTGAGGGGGACTCGAGCACGGGTTAACCCACTAGACCGCATGCGTGGTGAAGGGCGCCAATTACACTACACCATTGCGTGGTGAAGCTCCACCAATTCACTACACCACCTTAGCCTATGGCACGGAAATCGAATAACTATTAAAAAAATCATAACGACAGCGAAGAGCGTTGCCAAAGGCAGTGGGTGCAATTGCTGGAGGCGAGCAGTCGCTGCGTCATTGGTGGACATGCTGAGTGGAGTGCGGTCAAACGCCCTCTCGGAGACTTCCCCCCACCAATGGCGTTGGCAGCAACCGCCCGCCTCTTGCAATCCTGCTCGTGCCTTTGGGACGTATGACTGGTGTGTAAGCAAGACTGGTTAGCATGAATACGAACGAGACAAAACCAGTGGAATATGGATTACCGTGTGCAGGGAGGAGAAACGCAGAGGAAGCTGAATCTTACAGTCAACAGTAAATGTTCAGATGCCCAAAAAATTGCAACTCAAACTCCACAGCATAACGGAAGTCCTACGGTAAAACGAATCCAATAAAAGCTGGAATCACGGCGCTGTTCTGTTTACCGCGCACATAGTCCACGAGTCCAATAACGGATCGACCCCCTCAGAGTCGACCAAGTCTTCCATCATGTCGAAAATGGATAGGTTGGTACCGGGAGAAAAATAACGCTTTCCTGCCCACCCCGAACATCATTGCGTAAGCCGAATCTCCTAAAAATGCTATTACTATTCTGAACGGAAGTGGAACGCGTGGCGCATACCACGAGGGATCTACCACAACTGCCAGCTTTTTAAACTTTTGATCCCTCACTGAAGCAAACGGAAGGGAACCACGATTTTACAACAAGTTTACTGACAAGACGGGCAAAAGAACTCCGAAAAAGTGGCGAAAGGAGGCCTAATATTCAGAGATGGGTGACAGAGGCTGAATGGATCAGAGGTCAATTTTCGTCATTCTGCCCTTAAAGCAAAAAACCAAAAATATCAGCTTATACCTGCACGCCTTCGACAGCATAATGAGCAGCTTTGTCATTTCCCTTGTCGAAAACCAATTCGAACGCTGCAAGGCATTTCTCTCGAACATATGGAATCGATACCGACTCATCGGATAGGCTCTTGACGGCTTCTGAAGTATATGAACCATATCACAACATATTTCGTCCACATCCGTCCACAATCAATCGATAATCGTGCCATAGTGGCTGATACTGTACCTTTTGCTTGGGCGACTGCATCCTTGATGGGCTGGTTCTTGACCGTATTGGAAAGGCCGTTCAACGCCGCTTCCATGCCACTTCAGAGAATTGATCGTGTCGCGACCGCCAGCTCAGCTGAGCCCAGCCGTCGGTCGATTTGTTCTGCCTGACGGGGGCGGAGACATCTCCAATTATGCATCAGTGCCAGCGACTTCGTCCCCTCTCAATCAATGCCCTGGGCACCACTGCCGATGGGCGGGGTATGGCCACTAATGGAAAACGTTATTAGAATTCGAAAGGAGCCTGCGGGCAGGCGTTCCGGAGCAGGCAAAAAAATAACTGAGTTCCAGGTTCGGTCTTCCTGAAACTCCGGCATGTGGAGATTCGACGAAAAGGGAAAAGGTCATTCCCTGAAATGGAGTGAAGAACCTTATTCGCAGCCCACAGGGGTAAGCGTTTTTGTCGTACTTATTATAATAATGGCCCAAATTTGAAGGAAATTTGAAAAGGGGCAGAACTCCGGTAAATAGATCGAATTGTAGAAGAACTTTCTAGGGCATAACAATACCCCCCCACAGTTTTTTTGAATTATTCATTTCAGAAATTCCTGATTAGGGCACACCATGGCTATGTTTGAAATTTGGTCGTGCAGTATTACCTCCTTCCCTCCCAAAGTACGTACGAGTGCGACAAACCTTCGACCAGGAATTCCTTAGCCACCTTCTTTAGCATCTCTTGCCTACAGTTCCCCACGAAAACCTTTGGACCATGGTATAAGTGACAGGAGTGCTACCAGCGCTATTGTCCCCAACAGCGGAACTGACAGGGCAGGTATCAGCGCGACAAGAGTTTTGGAGCGGCATCGACTCGTTTTCCACCAATTACACCTCGTCTAATTTTGCAGCGAGTGTAGAGCACGAGCTGACGCCTGCGTCAAAGTCCAAGTAACGCGGACCTGGTCAATTCGGTTGCTGAAGACTGTAAAACCTCAACTTCTCCCTGAAACTGTGATCCTCTTCTCAGCAAACCAATCGCGACCCTACCTCCTTTCTCAACGGCTCGAATATAATACCTCTCGTTGAGGGTATTCCAAAGAAGATGGATCCCTTTCCAGGGGCCTGAGGTCTGATAGGAAATCTGTATCCAATCATTTCTAGTCAGAGAAAAGTGGACCTGTCGATTCCGTAAAGAAACCGAATAAGATGTCCCAGATTTGGAGCCTTATCTTATATAATATGGAGGGGCAAAAAAAGGCACTTTGCCGACGTTCACATAACAGCTAAGAGTTTTCGGAGCACAGACCAGAGGACGTGGGATGGCGCAGGGATACCGCCGACGTGGTTAAGAAGGCGCTCGTGCTCGCAAACCACGCTGAAGTAGGTCACGAGTACAGTCCCTGCCGAGGCACAAACCATGCCTTGCAAAAATTGCAAAAATGGAGACGTTACCAGCGTCAGGCCCAGGTTGACAGGCCGGCTGATGGAGAAACCCGTCACAACAATCATGACAAGTCGCAAAAGTATGGCGACGTCTAACAAGAACAGCGGACCCTGCGACGGCGCGGGACTAACGCTAGGGAGAAGAAGAAGAAGAAGAGACAGAGGACGTGGATACGAGTACCAGGGCGGAAGATACCCAAGATGTTCCTCGATAAGCAGGAGCAGGCTCTCGTCCATCACCTTCATGTACACCAAAATATGAAGCCATCTGCAATCGCAGCCGAACTGAAGAAGGATTATGGAATTCACTTCACCTCCGAACAACTGCGAAACTGCTTCACCCGTGGGCTGCTACCTGGGAACGGCCTCTTGATCTGGGAGACCTCCAACATCGAGCAGCTCCGACAACGTCGCTACGGTCTAGGACATCATCTTCACCGCAGTCGCCAAGGGTTGATGGTATGGACCGGAAGTACCTGGAATGGAAGACCGATATTTTCTTCGTGGACCCCGGACTGAAGGTGAGCGCTGGCGGTTACATTGAGCAACTCGAGAAGAATATCCTGCCTTCATGTCGTCAGCTGCACTATCTTGGAAACTTCTTACTGCTAAAGGATTGGGTGTTAGCACATGGAATTGAAGAGCGCTGGAGAAACTCTCGCTTACTTGGAACCGCAGGACGTTGGGTATCTAACGAAGACGGAATATCCAAGTGTGCCACTTGACCTAAAACCCTTCAATTACCGGGTCCGGGAAGCTCAACACGGAGAACAGTTCTAACGAGAATTCGCTGAACTTGAATCAGGTCGCGCGACAGGATATCCCGATGGCGTTCGTCCAGAAGGCTGTGGCGGAGTATCGTAACAGTGCACAATGTGTTGTTGAATTTGATGGTGGAAACGTCCAATCAGAATTTAATAACGTGTAACATATAGCGCCTTGAAAGTAGGGAAGAAAAGCGACCTTTTTCGCCCCCTCCCCTATACATTCGGAGATCAGGAGCGACAGAAACGACGGACCTACGACGGTCACAGGATTGCGAGCGTTTCTTACTCCGACTAAAAGAATACCGTTACACCATGAACCGACTCGTCCAGCAGGTTCGGAATTCCCCACCAAAGTCGAGTAGAGCACCCAGATGAGCCTTTGAAGAAGAAATAAGACTAATTTCGTCTACTTACTGTTTCCAGCAGGAGTTCTACCGCAACGGCAAACACGTACAGAATACCACCGGCCTCGACCGTTTGCTGGTCCACTGTCAAATTAGGATGCCCCCGTTCTGCCGGATTTTCGTTGTTCCGCCCCGTTTCTTCACCATTCTCGCACGACCGAGCGTAAGGCTTACCTTTCAAAGTATCAGTCAGATTAGTGCCAACTGCACTTGATAGGTTCATGGCGCAACGTTCCAGAAAACCGTTGGCGTCATCGCTGAAGATTTCGCGCTCCAGTCGCGATCTCACAGTGCGCGAAAAATTAACTTTTCAAATTGAGGGGACGTCACAGAACAAATCAATTATTTCTGTTCACAGCCGTAATCAAGCCATTGTTCGATCTCCTTCTGCAGAGATTTTATTTTTCCCAGTCTCCATTACCTTAATAATAATCGTAGCCAGCTGCTCTCTGTAGTTTCAGAATAAGGAACTCTCTTCAGAAATTTTTGAGTTGATTTTGTCAGAAATGAATGTGCAATGCTCAGTTTCATAACGACCGATTTCATAGGAAAATATGGAGCACTACATGCCAGAAATCTTCTGGCATGACAGGAAAGCAATATTATCAGTGGACAGCCATCCAGTGGTTGAAGATGGAGCTTACAGAATCGTAACAGCCAGCGTTCAAAAAGAGGTGCAGTCACAGCTTACTTTCTAGAAAATGCTAATTCTGTGCTACACAATTGAGGGTTCATTTTACATTTCTTGGTTTTTTTTTCTTTGGAGTGTGCACTCATACTTTGCGTCGGCATCAGGAGCGTCCAGGAGCGTTTGCAGCGTTTCGAGCGACTAACGGTGTTTTGATATCGATTACCGCTGAAAGCGCTGGCGGACGCTCACGATCGATCGATATCCATCTTTTCGCAGTCGCTGCTCCACGCACTCTAACGTAGTTCAGACGGGTCATACTGGCTACCTGTGTCCCTTCTACTTCCCAAAGCCCAGTCTTAGTAAAGTTAACACTTCCAGAGTCTCGCAATGCAAGCATAATCGCGCTGTCGCCTTCCTCCCTCCCAATACACGGTGTTTCTCTTTTTTCTTCAATATGGGCTAGTTTTCGAGAACGATTTTGCAAAATTGCACTTTCCATAAGAGCAAGGCTCGAATCGCCGCTGATCAGTCACTTTTTGTTATGCAGTAACTGCTTCCAGCGGAGTCGTGATGGCTTACTGAACGCGATATGGCATTTGCAATTACTAGCGCGGGCTAACCGATGGAAAAACCGGAGTGTGTTCATACTTTGCGGCAGCGTTTTGAGCATCTCTCAGAGTTTTGAGTGTTTTAAGCGACAAGAAGAGTATGGGTGTCGAAGCAGCTTAGAACGCTATACCGATACCTATACTTTACTAGTCGCCGAAAATGCTGAGTCCAAATGCTCGATCGCTACTTGTACCTTCCTAGCTGCTCAAAACGCTGACTATGATTGCACTCTCAGTGTCCAAGTTATTCTAACCGTAGGACAGAAAGATCAGTTGGCCTGAGCGAGAGCCGATCCGCAGCTTGACCCTCAGACGATGCCACCTCCTTCTCTTCTCATAGGTGCAACATGAATGTCGCTCATGAAAACAAAAGTTATGGGCTGCTTTTTGCCAGAAGGATATCGATAGTAAAGATCCACTCCTTCAAATCGTTAGTCTTACTGAATACTTATGCGCTCTTTCCGTAACGGCACAGAATCTCCTCAAGGGCAAGAAATACATAACAGCTGTTGCCTACGTCCTTAACCATTTGATGTACCCATTGTCACTGGTTGTTTTCAGGTTCGCATTTGGCGATTTGAATATGAGCAATGCCCAAAAGTTCCTTCAAAATATCAGTTGGCAGTCACATTCCTGGCGAATCTTATTGGACATAACGTTGCCATAAATGAAGTAAAATTCAGCCCAAATCCGGAGTGTTGGTTTCATTTTCTTTCTCCTCTTCGTTTCATATTGCCTCATTTTTATCATAAACGGGATATTTTTTCGTGTCATTAGGAGGGTTTCTTTTCCTCCAGAATTTAGAGAAATGGTCTTTAATTAAAGCGAATAGGTTAATTTTGTTCCCAGTTTTAGTGAATTTCCTCGCATCTGGAGACTCGGATGGGCGCATAGCCATATGGCAACTGTCTGATACACCGAGCACTGCACCTCCTATTGACGATTTACCGCCGAACAAGGAAAACTGGGTTCGAATGCGGGTATGTTCTTCGGCGCTATTCCACCATTACAATTCAGAATGTTCCGAAAATCCCACCAAGTCATTATAAACCAAATAAATAGGCGCTTATCACCTTGGAGGGGGGTGGCAAGAAGTCAGACTCAGTGTGGTATAGCATAGAGTCCTCTGTCGGGTGTTTGATGCGATGCCCTTTGGACTGTACGCTTTCTTCGTCTCTATCAACTTCGAGCATAATGTGTTTTCCTTCTTTTCTCATTTCATCGTCTTTTTGCAATTCCACCACTCACTTTTGCCCATCCTTTTTCGAATATCATTATGTGTTGTAGAAAGCATCTGGCTTCAACAACCTAGGATAGCGCCAAAGGTCGCAACTTTGCGTTTAGTGGCTGGGTGACTTAATCTGCACGAGATTAGTATGAAATGGTAGAGAGCTCCTCGATTAGGGGTACTGTCCGCAATTTCGTTAATTCCAACTATTTGTTGCTTTCTAGATTTTGAATCACGAGAGCGAAGTCACAAGCGTCGCATGGAGCCCAGATGGTAAGCTGCTTGCCTCTGTGTCCAATGACGAATCTCTTTTCGTACACGATGTGACGTCGGGTAGGTAGATCGCGTCTTGAAGGAGTTTCAGTTTACTATGCTTTACCCGGTTTAACAACTAGTTTTACAGGCAAACGATGTGTGACGGTCCGAAACCTTAGGCACTTTCCTAATGGTGTAGCATGGGATCCCAAGGGAAAGTATCTAGTGACAATGTCAACAGATCGCAAAATGGATATAATAGATGCAACCAAAGGAACCCGGTTACGAATGTTCGGAGTGTCTGCTTTGCCAGCGATCACAATCGGTGATGTACCCCTTGAACATAAGGTTTGATTTTTTCAAGGTAATTTTCGAATTTCTGATGCCTGCCCCTTCTTTTGCTTCAGCATTTCCTAGGGAGCTTCAGAGGTACATGGGAGGGGAGCCAATAGAAAAGACACTTTACTCTTGCAGAGCTCTTATCGAGCTGTGCCTCCTACAGGGTGACAAGGTAGAATGCAAATCCAGAGATAGATATTCCTAAGATATTCCTATGGTAGTGCTCTGTACGCAGAAGCAAGCAATTCACATCAAATTCAGTAGTCGTGATGTGAAGCTATACCTCGTTGCCGTCGAGCTCAGCAAGGCTCAGCCCGACCTCCTTTGTCTTTCGGCAAGCGACAAAGCATCATGCCGTTCGTATCAGTCATTTTCCATCAATTTTTGTCGCCTACCTGCTTCAACATGTGAGGAAGAACGGGGTGCTTGCGCGCCAAATCCTGCCTCGAGGGTGCACTCCGAACAAGACTATGCCTTCGTGAGGCTTCGAAAAAATTACCTGCACCCGAAGAGCAACCCTCTGTAGGCTAAGGAATGGTATCTCGAGTCACGTCCATGCTGAAAGTAATTAAGTTGCTGTTTCCTCGATTTTGGGGCAAAGTGTGTACGAGAATACTTTGTCATATCTTCAAGTGTTCAGGTCTACAAGCTTTTCCATGACGATCAGCTGATGAGTTTTCAACGAGGTGTTGCTTTTTCGCCATGTGGACAGCTTATAATTGCTCCATGTACGTTTATAAACAGTAAATGTTTTCAGGCTTCACTTTAAGAAATGCTGATTGCAGGTGCAAATCTGGAAGTACATACAAATGAGATTTTTGGAACCTATATTTTTAAGAGGAGTGAATTAGAAAGGTCTCATTATCGTCTTTAGCCTTAGCCTGACCATATTTATACCCCAGCTTTTTTCAGCGATAAACCATTTGCCTTCTTACCATGTCCAAAAGCTACATTTTTAATAAGGTGCTGCCCATTATTGATGACCCTTGAGAAGGATGAAGAAAACTATAGCGGGTAAGGAATTTTCGGTCGTTCACTAAAACTGTTGTGAAACTGCTGGTTTTCTTCTTCAGGCTTCCTTATCGAATATTATGGTTGGCCCTAACCAAGGATTCTGTATATTTATATGACAGCCAGCATCCTAATCCAATCGGCCTTGTAGAGAATATACAGTACAATAGCCTAACGGATGCCGCTTGGACCGCAGATGGAAAGAATATTATAATTTCGTCCCTAGAAGGATACTGTACATTCTTGAAGCTCACGGTTGAACAATGGGGATGCAAGGTTCCAACCTATTTTCAATTTTGCTTAGAATTGCTTAATTTTTCTATAAAAGCGCGTCCATACTCAGCGTCACCGTTTTGAACGTACGGCAGCGTTTTGAACGTTTCGCGGGTAGATTTGAATTATTCGCAGGCAGTCGCTTAGAACGCTGGCGTACCCCTAATACGCTAGATCGATAGCTATACTTTCCTAGTCGCTCAAAACGCTGACGTACGTTCGGAACGCTTCCGTACGCTGACGTGCGCTAGATCGATACTCATACCTTCTCAGTCGCTCGTCCCCTCGCATAGTAGATAGCGCAGCAAAACTATTTCTGTAGTTTATCGGAATCGGAGATGTCTCCCTCCTAGACCGGAGTTTTTGGGCAAATTCGCAGAGATGATCGGACGTTCGTGGAAAGGGGTCATGCCGGAGGAAAAAAAGGGGGCGCATTTGGAGGAAAAATTTATTTCAAAACGAGGATGTGCCCTGGTCTATGCCTTCTCAAGCTAGAGTGAGAAGCGATCATGTTCCCGACAGGTATGAGGGTCACTGATTCCTACGCACAGCGGGCCCCTTCCAGCTACAGTATGTCGATCTCAATATCTTTTTTTCGTAATTGTTCAGTTGAAAGTTCCAGTTTGTGTATTTCAGATTGAGAAGGAGCAGGTAGAAGAATGTCCACCTTCTCCACAACTTATTCAAACTAAGAGGAGGAAACCGCGAGAGAAGAAAATTAAAGGTAGTAGAACTTTATTAGTATTCAGTTTCATGCATTTCCATTATGTAGTTCAGGCCACCTTAGGCGTGGTATCGCTTAGCCAAAACCCTAGCTAGTTGACCCAGTATAGCACTTTGAATTAAACCATCTTGGCGATGATAGGGAGTCCTACGTTCCTATATCCTTATTTTGACGGTCTTACTTCCGAAAGATCGACAATCGATAGATCGTTTTCTTCCATTTCGAGTTTTGAGGATCATCAACTGAATGAATGTCACAGTTGACAACTGGCCACGGAGTCAATGAAAGTAAGTCTGACAATAGAAGAAAGCAGAGCGCAGTTCGGTTTGGTGGGAGGTGGGGAGGGGGGTGGGGGTGGTTGCAGATGGTTTCCACGAAGCCTGTGAAGGCCGCCCTGTGAAGATCTGAGCATTTCTGTTACTTAATGGCTCATCCAAGAGTTTACACATTGACCAGAATGAGTCTGGTTACCAAGCATGAACTAGCAAGAGTTCAAAATGCCCCCCCCCTGCCCCAATTTGGCATTTGGCAGAGCCAATAGTGCCGAATGAAGATAGTTCCGTATATTGCTGAGGTAGACTAACGGTAAGAATGCTGTTGATTTGCCACTTACCTCCTGACCAGGTACAATACGGTACCAAGCAACTACGGCTGACTTCAGTTATCGGAAATAAAAGTTCTATAGGAGTTTGATGGCACCGCCAGCCAAGGGAGAGGGGTATATAACAAACGAAACGGGGAAATTTTTCGTGAAAACCAAAACGACCTCCATCAAAAACTGCGGCCCCTTCTCGACGACCGAAGACGCCCCCCTCTCATGAGAGTTTCCCATCGCTGTACCCTTCCCCCTGAACGACATCAGGATATCCATGCAGATTCTGCTAGCAAACCAATTTTGTCTACTGGCACCTAATCAGTCCACCAGACGAAGTTCAAACTTTTTTTTCAGAGAGCAAGAATGAGGAGAACTGTGCGACACCTCCGCCAACGGTGAAAACAACGCCTCTGCGGCCAGCACAACAGCCAGTGACCACACCTAGATCGGGGAGCCTCTTCCGCTACCTCCAGACAAAGGGTGAAGAATCCCCTTCACCTGCTGCTGAACCAGGAAGTCCTACCACGCCAACAAGGTTATATCTCATTAATTTTGGAAGAATTTCAACCATCCTAATAAAATTCGTGCGTCAATAGATATCCATCAAAAATTTTTCTCCGATCAATTTCAGACCGACCGCTGACGATCCTTTGAACCTCCCGAAGGCGAAGAAACGAATCCAGCTTATAACATTGACAGATTAGCCATCATGCTTGTATAATGCGAAGACTCCCTAATATTTTTATCGTGCTTGATCTCACAAAGATAAAAATTTACAATGGGAATGAGATCTTTGTAGATTTCGGTGGTTTTGTTACATATCCGAGAAAAGGTTGCTCGCGCAATACACGTCGCATCAGCATCAATCGTCCTCCTCGTGTTTTCGTTCGAGCTTCGATTGTGTCCATTCTGAGCTTCTCGTGCAGCTTGAATGGAAAGAAACACGGCCGAAAGCTGTTGCGGTGCCATGGACAGTTCCATCGAATGCTCATCTGCTGAGGTAACGCTGTGCGTAGTAACTGCCCGATCATAGTGCCTGAAATGAGCATAGTGATGTGAGATTCCACACATAAGGACGAGTTAGAGGGCGTTCATACCTCGCAATCGACCGCACGACTGCGACCGGACTTGGGGCGCTACCGCCAGTCAATGGACGCCCCCGGTCCAGCATGAATTCTGCCGCTCCGGTGGCCCCATGGTCACTATTGGATCCCCCCATCCGTCGTGGTCTCGCAATCCAATCACGAGATGAGGCTCGCGCGATCGGAACACGAAGTATGAACGCGCTTCGAACGCTGTTCTCAAGACGAGTACATCAAAGACACACCCTGTTGTAAACGCTATAAGAACGAAAGGACGAAAACTCAAATGCAAGATAGGATAGTGCTTCGACGCCAAGGCACTTGGGGAAGAGGGAGTCACTCAGCCGCTACTCTGTGTCTCTTTCCCTAATCAAGGTTCGGAGCGCAAACGACCAGTGTCGCCGAAGTATAGCCTTACAGGAAAAAATATGGGCCACAAGATTAAGCATTGGTTCTAGTAAGGGACCCAAAGGCGCCGCCCTATTATAGATCAAGGTTAACAAGCTGTGGTAAAGATCAAGAGAAAGATGGAAGCTAATTGACTAAACTCAGGCACTGCAATATCTCGTTCGACTACAGTGGCCGGCAGGATCTTCTAGACTTTAAATTCCATTCTTACAACATTTCCTAGGTTTCTTTCAGTGCTGGATAGCATTTATAAGTATGAACGCG